CACTCAAGTTGCTCCATTTAGAAATCATAAAATTCACATAATCTTAAAATTTTAAAAATTCATCAAAAATAGAAATAACATTCAAATAATTCTAAATAAATTTCTAATTAACTTAGAAGTACAAGGGCTTCTTCTCAATGCTATTTCAAGCAAAAGTGAATTATAAAAATTATCCTACCCCTTACCTTATGTTGTAACTTGGTGAAGAGCAACTCTTGATCAAATAATCTATCAAGTCTTTGGGTCTCCTCTTTGCACCTCTAAGTATCCTCCTATATTTCAATTAAATACCCCAATTAAATCCTTAATTCCAACCATATTAGACCCCTAAAATCTCACCTCCTTCATAGCCTAAAATTCCAAAATTCAAGACTATGTTTCTTTGAGTTATAAAATCATTTCTAGGGCCTAAATTGATGCTAATAGAAGTAATACAAGTGGAAGAGAGTAATGGAAGTAGTACACTTAGAGTAGGAAGAATCCTAATAACAAATATGGACAAGGTTCAGTATTTCAGAATTTTCTAGAGTTATATAAGTTGTTTTGGCATGAGGTCAGAGCCAAAATTTCAATAACTTAATTACCTACAATATTGATGAAGGAAATAAATTCAAATACCCTGTAGAATAAATGCATTTTTTCAGTTTACAGTGGTTGTTTCCAACATGGCTCAACTACAATAACATTCTGAACATGCCTTGGTAATTTGACTATAACTCATGCTACACATAAGCTATTGACATGAAACAAATTTCTAAATTTCGGAAATATAATTTTCTACAACTTTTATGAAGGAATCAAGTCCTAATTTCACACGTATCAATCCCAGTAATTTAAAAACCGAGGCTGTTGAAACAGGGCAATCTTTTAACTTCACAGCTATAACACTTGACAGTAAAATGGACATAACTTGAGCTACAATTATCCGTTTGATGTGAAACAAGTTTCTAAATTTCGATAACTTAAAGGGCTACAACTTTTATGAAGATATCAATTCCTAATTCTGTTAACACAAGTCCCAAAATTCAATGAACAGTGACTTATGAATTAGAGTGCTTAGGGTTTTTAGCTTAATCACTTCTAATCTTCAATTATAAGTATTATTCTAGTGTCCTAAGTGTAAAACCTACAATAATACTCTTTCTACTCCCATTCAAGCTTAGCTAAGTGAGGAAAAAAATTGAAAATGCACCGTTTTGAAAAATAAAACCGTAGAAATGTAGAGAAGATTGAGATAAACAAACTTACCTCTTGGAGTTTCTCAAAAAAATCAATATTAACCCCTCAAAATCAAACTTCAAAGTGAGGAGGGTTTGAGAGAAAGCGAGAAATGAGAGAAAAAAGAAGTTACGGGAACTTGCAGAGTGAATGGCTTTTTAAAAGTCAAAATCTAATTTTTTAGATATATTATTATTATTTATTTATTTTTAATTCCGGAAAATTTCGAGAAAATCACAAATAATCTAACAAACATAAAACTCTATAGTCACTTTCCCCAATTCCTAATAATTTAATTAATAAAATTTTGACAAAAATTTTAGAAGTACCGAGAATTAGGATGTTACATTTTCTTCCTTTTCTCCTTTGATTTTTGCATAGTCGTGACACAAAGCTTCAAGATCATCTGACATCTTTGTATTCTCCAACCTTATCTTCTCCATCTCCACTTTTAACCGTTCTATTTCCTCGGTAATAAGATCTTGGGACTGTTCTGCTGCCTCAGAGCTAGGATTTATCATCCTGAATGGCAATTTAATTACTTCCACCCTTTCCGTGATCCACTGCCTATAACTAGCTCTTTCATCCATACTTCCAGCTTTGGGCCTTTTGTCAATGTATATCTTTCCCCATGCACTCCTGATGCGTTGGAGCACCTCCATGAAATGGCCATCTTCATAATAAATTGTCAGAGGAGTAACGAAATCTGGTGTAGGCACCCCCCTTAGAGGGTAACCAAACTGCCTTTGGGCTAGTACAGGATTGTAGTTGATGCAACCCCTAGTACCTATAAGGGGTACATTGGGATAGCTCTTGCAGCTGTAGGTGAAACTTGTTCTTTGCTGCCACGACGGATGCCACTTGATTTTTTCTTCATTTAAGCTAGCTAAAAAACTGCGCCCATCCATCCCTGTTCATTACATCTAATTTTCCCCTCAATGATTCTTCTATTGGATAGCTGGCTCGGATAGACCTATTGGATACTCGAGAGGTGAGCCATACATAAAGTGCAGGGAGGCAGCATAAGATCTTTTTCCCTTTCCTCTGATACGCAAAGTTCATCGTTCCATATATGTCTACTAGTACTACTGTGACCGGATTCTCTGATCGGGTCTTGCTTGCCACAAAGACATCAATCGCCACAAAGTCCATGAAGCCCTCAAAATTAGGAAACACCATGATGTTATAAAGAGTGAGGGCCAATACGTCGCCAAATGTCTCCCAATCCTCAGTGTCGCTCAAGTGATGCAAATATTGCTCCAGGTATCTCCGGGAGAAGCCCCTTACCTTATTTCTAACTTCTAAGCGAATTTCCAGCTCCCTGGGTCGTAAATTCATGATACCTTCCAGCATCAAAATGGAAGTAAAGTGTTCCACGTATTGGTATGGAACTCAGTTCTCTAAAGGCAGGTCTAAAATTTGTTCAAATTCCTCTACCGTCGAAGCCAACTGAAAATCCAAAAAAGTGAAGCATCTTAAAGGGGGGTCATAATATTGGACCAAGGAAGTAATTGTTGCTCCTTGTACCTCCACCTCCATCAGATTTAGCAAATTCTAGTATTTCCTTCTAAAGGCATCCCTCTGTATTGTCTTCAACTTTCGCCCCAATTCCACTAGACTAAACATATTCTCTTCCTTGACCCTTATCTGCAAATTAAATTCTTTCTCTTCTTGAGACCCCATAGAATTTTCACCTTTTGCTAAAATATTCAAACTACTATATGATTTCTTTCCTGTGCAAGCCCAAAATAGTCAGGAAAAAAGAATCATAGGATGAATGTGAATGCGAACAGACTTAAAGATGTGAATGAATTTAAATAAGGTGGGATGTAGGAATGCAAGATTCTCCCTTGGTGCCTTATCATGGTTCAGAGTAACATCTAAGGACCTAGGGCAACTCATGCATATTCACCAGGTGGGCTCCCTAATCTTAATGGTAGAAAGTCACTAGAGTTATGGCTGACTTCACAACATTTCCCACGACAATCGGTAAACAACCAAAGGTGTGAGTACCAATGAAGCAAAAAGACTCTAACTGAGGATCTCACAATGACCTGCCAGAAAGTACATTCCAAGCGGTATTGCTACATAACCCCTCTAATTCTAAGCTTGCTCAGACCCGGGTATGGGGCCGCACTCAATATGAAACGCTTAATTGTGTGTGTGAAGGGAGGAAAATGCATACCCAACCCTCACCAGCAAAATAACCAGAAAAATCTCAAACAGATATAACACATGTCATTTACCCTAAGATTCAAAAGTTCATTAATTTTATTAGTAACATTAACAAAACATCAAGAAGAAACGTGGTAGAAAAAAGAGAAGGAAACAAACATTTAAAATTGAAATATATCTCGCACACTCAACTAATTAGGTTTGACTCTCAAGGTTTGACGTTCCCCAGTGGAGTCGCCATTTGTCGCAACCGAAATCGCGGCGGGACAACGAACCAAAGTTTCAAAAAGATTTAAAAAAATCAGAATCATAGTTTTGGAGTCGCCACCATAGTTTATTTAGGAAAACTATGAAAAAACTATAAAGATAAGACAAGGTCTACGAAAACCAGATTCAGATTCGGGAATCGGTTACGAGTAGAGAAGGTATTAGCACCCTACAACGTCCGTCCTAAGATGGTCACCCTTAGTTGAATGTGCAAAATTAAATGTCATTTTAAAAATATTTATATTCCTCCAAAATCAGAAAATATAGAAAGAAAAAGGAAAAAGGAAAAAGGAAAAGAAATGGACTAAGATATTTTTAGTTTCTCTGGGCCCGACAAGGATTAACCTTGCTCCTACGTATTCTCATTCAAAATGAGAAATCGGGGTTACGTAGTTCTTTGTAGAAAAAGATGTGTATGTTGATTAATGTTTTGAAATATTTTGATTTTTTTAAAAGAATTTTGTATTTTATTTTGGGTTTAAAATATTATTTTTTATGTTTTGAAGACACATGATGACACGTGCAGCCATACCCGTGTTTCAAAATTTATTTAAAATAAGAAGACATGACGACGTGAGCGACAGTATTCGTACCTCAAAATTTATTTAAAAAAAAGAAGACATGACGATGCAAGTGACCGTACCCGTATCTCAATTTGTTTAAAATAAGAGGATATGATAATGCGTACAGCCGTACCCATACCTTAAAATTTGTTTAAAATAAGAGGAGATAATAATGAGAATGATCGTACCCGTGCCTCAATTTTATTTAAAGAAAATGACGTCCAAATAATCTATATCGCATAAGATCGACGATCCTATATCGGAAGACGGAACCAATAGCCACAAAAACCGTATAAATAAATTAAATAAGAAAAAGGCCAAAAGTCGTAAGCATGGAAGAAAGCGATAAAAATAAATTCGAAATTAGGCTTCTTAAATTGGATAAAGTGTATCAGGAAGCATGTACTCAAAGCAAAATACTCGCAAAATGCAGAAATTAGCGACTGTCTCTATCAAAGACAAACATAAGCCGACATGCATATAACCTGACCACAACCTATCCACCCAACAAAAATCCAGCAGCATAATGATAGTAATTTGGCATCCAACAAAAAGAACCAGTGTCCTTAACAGATTAACAATCCAGCCACAAGGACCCACGACCCGCCACAGATGCAGTCCAATAAAAAAGTTCAAAACAAAGAGGACAGATTGTACATCTAAAGAAGAAAAATAGCCACAGTCCAGAGCTCTAGCAACAAAAGTAAGCAAAATTACAAAAAAAAAATTATTAATAATAATAAAAATGGAAGCAGTGAGCTGCGAGAAAAAAAAGGGATGGGGTCGTGTGGGTTGTGGTGGTTACGTGGTGGCTGGGCTCGCGGATGCAAGGTTAGGAGAAGGGTGAAATGTGGAAGTTCGTGGTGCAATGGTTTCGCAGATGGGGTTGTGTGGGTCGTGGCTGTGACTTGGTGAGGGTGAGATGCGAGGGTGGAGATACGGTGGCTACGGTGAAGGCGCGGATGAGTGTGGTAGTGATGGTGGAGATGAGAATAGGAAGCAAGGGAGTATGGTGAGAGTGAAGATGCAAAGAGGTGGGACTGGACCTATGGTGGTGGGCTGCGGGATGAAGGTTAAGGGTGGTGAGTGGAAGGTTGGGATGCGAGGCCGCGAGAGGGAAGGAAGGTATGAGTGAGGGAGAGTGGGGCTCCAGGAGGCGAAGGTTCAAGCCGCGGGGATAAAAAAAAATATGAAGATGCGAGAAAAATAATAAACAAATAAAAAAATACCAAGGAGAGAATTACCTCAGGACACTGTCTCAGAATTTTTTTTACTCCCAAAATGCGGCTTCGAAAATTGTGTCCCCCTCCCTTATTTTTTTCCCTTTTTAAAGACCTCTCCTAGGTTAAAGAATAAGCTTGATCGATGTCGTACTCTGTCAAATAATTAAAATAGATAAATGTAGTACTTGGAAGCTTTTCTATATCGTCTTTTAAAAATTATGAATTTTTATCAAAGTTTATCAATTTTTAAAATTATAACAATAACAAAAAAAGGGAAGTTTTTCAAAATTAAAATATTAGATGAAACGAACAAAAACAGATTATAAAAATGCGGATTAAAAACAGATTAAAATGCAATTGATTTCTTGATTCTAATGCAAGTGTCACTTATCCTAGATTACAAAATTAATTTGAAATTAACCAACTAAGCGAAGATAAATCCCAAATTATATTCTAATTTGAAATTAATCAACTAAGTGAAGATTAATCTCAAATTAGTTTTAACCCTTGTTCCAATATGAAATTAACCAACTAAGCGAAGATTAATGCCAAATTTTCCTTAACCCTTATTCCAACATGAAATTAACCAACTAAGCAAAGATTAACCCCAAATTATCCTTATACAATTAAGCATTGCATACATCACATAATCTCATCTCTAACACAGAATTAAGCAAACTGTGATATTAGTTTCGGTTTATTAAGCATAAACAGATTATAATTCAACACTGAGATTAGAAGATGAAGAGTGAAGAGAACAAACGAAATGAAATTGAATAACAAAACCTCAAAGATATACTTGCATTCTTCTCAGAAAATCAATACAAAGATTTAACTATCCATGGAAAGTTGAAAACGCAATAGAAGAAACATAATTAAAATCGAAACAAGAATTTAAAAATAATAATAAAAGAGTAAACAAACTTGAATATAAATTGCAGAAGATGAAAGGTGGAAGTGTGGTGGCTATGTAGTCCTTGTGTGATATCTGTGTTGTGTGATGTGCCTCTCTTATATAAATAACCCTAACCCTAATCTTTATTGAGGTTTGGGCTCAACTGGTCCATGAAACACATTATAAGTTGGCTTTAGTGCAGGTCTGTGAACTTCAAACATGTGCAATATTTTCAATACTTATCCAAATTAAGCGATTTTGGTATACTTTGAAATCCTGTTGAGTTAGCTTTAAAACGCCACCATTTCTACTATTTTTGGAGGTCTAATGAATTTAGGAGACTTAAATTACTGAAGAATGTCCATTGGGCCGGCCTGGTGCGCTTGACCCGTGTTGGATAATTTATGTAAAATCCAATTTATCTCCGAATTGAAGGATTTTGGATCCTATGGAAATCTGAATGTGTCTAGTTTATAATGTTTTGAAAATAATGATTTTTGGAGATCTGTAAAAAAAATGACAAATAAAACAGTGAACCAATGTTAGTACCCGTATAGAATAAAATATGACATTTGACCCAATTTTCCAAGCCTAAAATTGTTTTAAACTGTAAAATGGCATCTAGCCCAATCTTCTAGGCCCAAAATTGCTTTAACTGTCCTAAAATTAATAATAAGAAAAAATTAGATCAAATAGATTTAAATTAACTAAAATCTAATTATTGGCCTAATGAAGCCCAATTAATAAAAATTCATTAATAATAGAAAGTTAAGCCCAAAACACTAATTAAAATAAGTTCGAAAGGGAAGAAAATACGGGAATATAATGACTCATCACTAATGTAAAAACAAATTGGGCCAAAACAAAAAAATAGCCCATTTCTCCTCTCCTTTTTTATTATTATTACATTTTTCTTTTCTTCTATTATTTTAAAGTGCTTAAAGGTCATCATCATTTTTTATATACTTTTTTTGTTTTATTTAGGAAATAGAATTTGTTAAAAAAAAAATTTTTTTTTGAAAGTATAACATGCTAACAAGAGAAAATTGCATATTTCTTAATCATACATTTTTCATCCCCCTCTTTTTTTTTTTAAAATAAAATAAAATATGGAACTATTTTTTTTCTTCTCCCCTTTTTTTTAATCATTATTTCTTCATATTTTCAAAACAAATGTTATTTATTTTTATTTACCCGGATGAAATTGGGTGCTGACAAACGCCAACAAAGCAAAATTTGCTTAAGGCCATGGAAGGAGGAGTTCACATCTCTATGTTACAACTTTGCAACTTGGGAGTAAATCTATCACACTCTCTTACTATGCAAGTTGAATCCCCACCTATTCCTTTACCTATTCAGAAGTTGTCGATTGAATTTGGGGACTTTTTTCATATTTCAACAAAATTACCACCTTTCAGATGAGTTTGATCATACAATACCTATATTCCAGGCGTCAACCCTGTTAATAAGCGACCTTACCGTTATGCCAAATCACAAAAATATCATCAATAAATTGGTGCAAGAGTATCTTAAGAGTGGCGTTATCCAACATAGTAACAATGTCTATGCCAGCCCTGTGGTCTTAATCGGAAAAAAGGATGGCAGATGGCGCTTATGTGTGGAATATAGGGATTTGAATAAAAATACAATTAAAAATGAAAAAAATCCAATTATTTTTTTGCAATTGATAGAGTAGAATATTTGGGTCATTTTATCTCAAAAGTAGGGGTGTCCACAGATCCTACAAAATAGAGGTTATATCCAATTGGAATTTAAACAAACATTTTGTTGTTGAAGTAGGGGTCGTTTTATTCGAGGTTATATCCTACAAAATAGTAGGGGTCATTTTATTCGATTTTAACAAACATTTTGTTGTTAAAGTTGATGTTTTGGGATCAGGAATTTTAAATGTTTTAATACAAGACCAACATCTGATAGCCTTTATTAGTAAGGTCATCAACAATCAACAACAATCTCTTTCTACATATGAAAAATAATTACTCACAGTAGTCTTTGTGATTCAAAAGTGGCGACATTACCTATTACCAGCCAAGTTTGTAGTGCACATATTGAGCATTACATCTTAAAATATCTCCTTGATCAAAGGTTAACAACTGTTTTTCAACAAAAATGGTTAATTAAATTGATGGAGTTTGATTTCTCTATAAAGTATAAGTAGGGGAAGGAGAATTTGGTGGCCGACGATGCCTTATCAAGAAGATCCATAATGGAATGTGCTCCTTTGATTATACATCAACTGTAGTAAGATATGTTACAAAAAACTCATCAAGCTTGTTCGAAGGATGCTAATTTACACAATTAGTCCAAGATTTACACATTAATCCTGCTTTGCATAAACATTACAGTTGGAGCAATAATGAGTTAAGAAGGAAAGAGCGGTTGATGGTAGGTAACAACACTGATTTACGTCAGACTATACTGCATTGGCTACATTTTTAATCTACTGGAGGCCAGTCAAGAACCAATGCTACTTTGCAAAGAGTCAAGTCAATGGTATACGGGAAGGATATGAGTAAGTATATAAAAAAATTTATTAAGCATTTTCTGGTTTTCCAACATTCAAAGCACGAGACAGTACCTTCACCGGGGTTATTACAAAAACCGCCCATACTAGGTCAAGTTTGTTAGAAAAGGAGGTTGAGATCAAGAGGGGGGGGTGAATTGATCTTTGAAAGATTTTCACAATTTACAGATTATCTATTTCAAATATTAAGAGTTTTGACCACTTATTGAATCAAGCAAAACAAGCAATTGAAATAAAGGCAGCAACAGAATTTAAGAGAGTAAGGTTTAGAGAAATACAACCAAGATTTATACTGGTTCACCCAATCCCAGGACTACGTCCAGTTCTCAGCTAAATTCCAGCTGAGTTCCACTAGATTGAATATTTTACAGATTACAGATTCCAATCACACACCCAACCTTACACAAGAACCAAAATTCCAGTTCTTGTACCTAAACCTTCACCAAGAACCAACTTCCAGTTCTTGAACCAACCTGCAACCAAATTTCAGCTACAGAACTAGTGCCCAACAATTCCAGACACCCAACATACAGTAAACAAATGTAAAGAAACAAAGAGAAGAAACTAGAACAATCAAACCTGAATTATGCAGCTCTGCAAAATGAGTTTCTTCACAAAAGGAATGCAAAAATTTCCTCAAGAAAGAACTTTGAAAAACTCCATAAAACTTGCGTGATTCTTTCTTGAAAGTAGCTCTTATGATTCCTTGATTGATTGTATAAAATTATATTTTAAAAGACTCAAGCAATCCTGTTTAAATAGAGAATTGTTCTAACTATTAGTTTAATTAATCTGTTAAAACAATCTTTTAATTTGTTAAAAGTCTTGAATTAATATGTTAAAACTTCTTTTAATCTATTAAAATGTTCTTGATCATTTTTTAGATTTGTTTTAACTGATACGACAACGTTTATATTGATTAAAACACTTTGTAAAAAATCCCTTAAGTTATTTTAATCGATTAATTCACATTTTAATCGATTAAAATTCTGCCAAATATTTTCATAAAACTTTCTAAGTGATTTTAACTGATAACAACCAGTTTTAATCGATTAAAACAGTTAGCATAAATTGTTTTAATCGATTAATTCATTTTTACATCGATTAAAATTCTGATGGAACACCTTTCAAAATATTTCAAGTTGTTTTAATCGATTATTTCGAGTTTGTATCAATTAAAATACTGGCAGAACCCTTTCCAAAACATTTCATGTTATTTTAATCGATTGTTTCGAGTTTGTATTGATTAAAATACTGTCAGAACACTTTCCAAAATATTTTAAGTCATTTTAATCGATTATTTCGAATTTATATCAGTTAAAATACTGGTAGAAAGTTTTCAAAAACTCCTTTAATGAAAACAATCGATTAATTCGAAGGTATATTGATTAAAACAGTTCCAGTGACTGTTTGAAAAGGTTTTAATCGATTATTTCAAAAACCAATCAGTTAAAAACCTGTTATGTAAGTGT